CTCGGAGTACCAGAGGCATCCAGAATGCTACTTCAATCTCCCTAAGTTACATTGGAGAGGACGCTTTCTCCCAGTGGGGCTGCACCTGCCAAGCAGGTGTGTGTGGGGGGGGCGTGAGGCCACCCCCAGAGCAGGCTGGTGACCTACTTTTTCAAGAACTGGAGATTCTGGGTGAGGCTCCCAAGGGGGCTTTCTGAGGACCGTGGCAGTTGATGTCCAGGGGAGAGGAGACATTGTAGGCATGAGGCCCCACAGGAGTGGTGGTGTTCTGTGATTGAGTTTCTGAGCACAGAGTTTACTGGCAGCAGACCCAGGGAGCCTGCCTGGATCCAGTTGCTGTCTTGCACAAGAACAGGAAAAGGATGGGAAAAGGAAAGTTGGATTCTATGTTCAATCTGTGGAAAAGAAGCTGGATTACTTCTCTGCCCTTCCTTCAGAAGCATCAAGTTTACAGCCAGGTGAGAAATGAATGCAGTTTAGCTGGGCTATGCTAGCCGGGGATCATGTCAGTGGTGCCCGGCCAGGGAAGGGGTATTTTCAGCACAAGGAAATTCAGGGTCTCTCTGTTCAACAGGAGCAGAAGTAGTTCTGGGGCCCCTTTCAGGACTGTCAAAGGAGGCGAAAGCAATGTGTTCAAAATGTCATGAGACTTGGGTGGCAGCATAAAGAAGCAGGCAGGGGTCTGGGACCCTGGCCAGCGCTAGGGTCTGTCTGGGGAGCAGTCTTATCCAACCAGAATGGTCAGATGGGCCAGGGGTGGCCACAGGCAAAAGACTGACCAAGGGAAGTAAATCAGTCCCCTGTAGGGCACACTCACCTGCCTCCTCCTTCCTCAGTGCCATAGATGCTCGCTGTTGACCTCTGGGAGGTGCTCGTGCTAAACCTCCGAGGGAAAATGAGATGGGCAGTTAGGTGTGGTACCTGCCGAAGGAAAGCTATTTACTAAACGGTGCAGTTTAATATAAAATGTAATATTACAAGATACCATATGGATACACACACCGTATATATGGATATGTGTGTGTGTGTGGGTATACATTCATTTCTACCTCATCTGTAGAAAAAATTATTGTGGAGAGAAGCCCACCAAAAGTTTCCATTACTTTTCCCTGAGTGCTTTTCTATATTTTCCCGATATTCCGTAGTAAATATTTATAATAATAATAATAATAATGCCCCTTATGAAACAAGTAATGGGGTGCGTGGTAGCCCAAGGGCCTGGTGCATCTCCTCTTGCCCTGTGTGCTAGGGCGCCTCATCCCCCGCTGCCAGACTCTGCGAACAGCCCCTCCTCTTGCCTTGGGCAGTTGATCCACATCTGTGATCTCAATGACTATGGACAGCTGTCACTCTTAATTCCAGCTCCATCCAAGACCTCTCTCCTCAACTCTTGACTGGAGTTCCAGCCAGTGACCCAGATCTTCCCAGGCGTCCGGGAGCCTTCAAAGTCAGCGTGGCTTGCTTCCTCCTCTTGGGGGCATGCTGGATGGTACAGGCCCAGCCTCACGCCTCATGGGACCTGTTTGGACCTCTCTCCACACCTCCCCTCCGTGTACCCCAGCTCAGGTGTCAACCTTCAGTCCCCTCCCAGGTCAGCCAGTCCCTGGTAGGGCACACTCAGCTTCTCCCGTGGCTTTCACCCAGGGCTTCCTCCTGGTTAGTGGTGGGTCCTGTGGGGAGGGACTGGTCAGATCCCAGCTTGCTTTGGAAAGATGTCCTGGCGTGTGGGTGGGCCAGGCAGGGGCAGCTGGGAGGCCTCAGGTCCTAGCCCTCCTCCTCCTGCCCTGGTGCTTGTTTTAACTCTGCAGGCTGGGGCGGAAGTGTTTCATCTTTCTCTCTTTTTTAGATTCTTTCGATTTTACTTTGAAAAACAAAAGAAAATAAAATTTTAAAACTACCTTCTCCAGGCTACAGAATCTTATCCCACTGATCTCTCGCTAACATCCCCCGTTATTTCTTCCTGAAAGGTAATACACAATTCAGAGCTCATTAGCAGGTGTAGATAATTCACATGTTCCCTCCTGCTGCGGATCGTCTGCTTAGGCGATATTCTGTCTCACCTTAGCTGAAAATTTCTGCTGGTTTTTCCTAAACCTAAGGACAGACTTCAGGTTGTTTTTTACCGGTTAGGATAGCTTGAGACTAAATTGTATATAAAACCCTTTATAAAGCAAATTTCTCACTGACTTTCACAGGGAGGGAAAGGGCCTATTTATGGGGTATCAGCCCTCCTCATCCTGCCTAGGCAGGTGCCCTGGGGACACTGACCTATAAGATGTCCACTGGCAGCACACACCTCCAGGAAGGCAGCCTCAGCCCAGAGGTGGACTCCTGGTTTCTGGTGGGTGGGGAGGACGGGGCTCCTTGCTTTGTGAGGAGATGGTGACACCCACTTGTGCCACCTTTGCAGCTTCTCTGCCTTTGTCTTTCAAGCCACCCTCGTGATGCACAGTGACCTTCGCAGGACTGGATCACCGAGATCATTCCTAAACAATCATCAAATGAGGATGTCTCTGAGGAAGGCACCTCTACCCAAGGGGTGCTGCTGGTCCTGGGTTCTGTGGGGCATAAGGAATGTCCTGCAGTGAATCCCACTGAGGCAAAAACCGGGAATAGAGAACGAGTCCTTTCCTGAATCCCCTCACAGCAAGTAAACAGTGGACGTTGCTCTGTGTCATCTGGAATTTAGTATGGAGCATGGTACAGAAGGGGGCTCACAGCACTATGATACAGGCACACAGCTGGCCTCTAGTAGGAGACAGCAAAAGCTTGTGGGCTACTTTGAGGCTCTTTGAAAGCACAAATACCTGGGTTTCCAGCTTTTGTGCAAAGTTAAGAGTGGCCCAAGACATCAGGGCTTGGGACACATCTTTTGCCAAGCTGCCTATTACCAAGGGCGGTGCGGGGCAGCAGTGAAGCAAGACTCCCCTTGAAGGAGACAGGGAAGCACCCACAGATCATGGCTTGCCCTCTCCTGGCCTGGGGCCATACACAGAATGCTTTGCTTTTGCTGAGAGCTGCATGCAAGCTGGACATTGACACCAGGGTCTTCTGTTCCCAGCCTCTAAAACAAAAAGGGACAAATAACTCCTACTCAAACATGATGATACCTTAGTGTGGCTGTGAGACTCAGGACCAAGATTGTCACGCTACATCACATGTGTGCACACAAATATATGCACATGAATTAAGGCTTAAGCCAATAGTACCAGCCTTCTAATCTGCAGAGCTTTCTGATTTTAGGTGAGGGAAAAAAATCTTGCCAGTACTTTTGCATCAAAGAGAGATATAAACTTGCTAATTGAAAAATGTTCACATGGAGGAAAATATGGAGATGCCAGCTATGTAAATTAGCATATGCCCAGATCCAAAAGAAATCATGCCAGGCCAGGAGGAAATTAAGCAGATCAGGGGAGTGAGGAAGCACTTGGGTGCTTTGGCTTAATCAGAAGGGGCTGCCAGGGGCTGGAAGAGTGAGAACACTACACGGAGACTCCCGCCGGTCTGGGGTGCGCGGGTGGGGGCGTGTCCTCCCACCTGTCGGCTGCCTTTTCATGCTGAATCGGAAAGCATAGATCCTGAAGCCGCCTTCTGCTTGATGCCCCTAGAAGGCCTTTCAGGGGCTCCCAGATAGTGCTGCTTCCGCGCCCTGGACTTCTCTGGTACAGGGATTTCCGGAGTTCATTTGCACAAGGAAGTCTCTGCCCTGCTCTCAGCAAGAATTGTCCACGCTGCCGCCTTGTGCTGGAGGATCAGGAAGAGGAGACTGGGCATCCAAGGGACAGCAATCTGCAGCAGGAGCAAGGACAGCCCAGCGGCTGGGATGGGCGCCTCCTGGCGGTGACTGCGTGTGACCAGAGCTCAGCTAGGCTCCCTTTGGCAGGCGCCCCAGGCTGTGTGAGCTCTGGGTGGAGCGAAGATACTTGGAGGAAGGGTCTGTTCTTGATTCCAGACAGTCGGGGGTGCAGAGACAGCGGTCGCGTGTGGCCAATATTGGAGGAGCACAGTCCTATGACTGGGGGAATTCAGCAGGAGTTCACAGAGGGTGATTCCTCCTGGCATGGGGAGGGTCTTGTGCAAAGGCCCTGAGGCCACCTGCCTGACATGTTGCACCATGGCGGGGGTGGGAGAAAGGAGTAGGGGGGCCGCCAAGGCAGAGGAGAGCCCTGAGGACAGCAGACATCTGGATGCTAGATTTTAGACCTGGTGCTGAGAGCTCAATCTCTGAGTTACAAGAGGCTGATGGGGGCTTGGGAAAATGTTTGGCAGATTTGTCCCAGAAAGAGATCTACCTGTGCCCAATAGTGTCCGGGTGTCCACCTGGCGTCCGGACCAGCAGTCCAGTATCTCCTAGGGCTGTGCACCCTAGACTAGAATGAAACCTGGTAGAGAGAGCTGGTGCCCCTAGCTCCGCCCGGGCGGTGGGACGTGCCGGCTCCGGCGCCACCACCTCAGCCTCGGTTCGCCATTGCATGCAGTGTCGGGAGCCTGGAGCCCGGAGCTGGTGCCCAGTCGTGCGCGCCTCTCCGGTGGTACGCACCGTCCGCGAGAGCCAGAGGCCACCAGCGGCTGCACCGGAGCCGGCAGGAGGCGAAGGGTTGGGCTGGATCAGCGGGCCCCGGCCACGCGCGCCCTCGGCCCTCGCCGCCCCGCGCGCCCTCGCCTCCCGGTGCCCAGGACTCTCGCCGCTCCGCGCCTTCGGCGCTGGGCACCCCTGCCGGTCTCCGCCGGTCCCCTCCTCCGGGTCCGCGTCTCCTCCCCGCGGCCTCGGGGTCCAGGGGTGCGGGGGCGGGGAGTGGGGCCGGGCGGGCCGGGGGCGGCGGCGCAGGCGGCCAGCTCGGAGGGGAGGGCGCGGGCAGGGGGAGGGGCTCCCGGCGCGGGGCAGGGGCGGAGCGAGCGGCCGCGCCGCGGAACCAAGTGAGTTGGCTCCGGAGCCCGCGCCGCCGCCGGCCCGCACCTCGGCGCCCGCCGCCCCGCCGCCGCCCGCGCGGGGATGTAGGATGCGGGCGGGCGCCAGGCTCCCGCGGCGGCGGCAGCTGCAGCAGCAACAGCAGCCCCGGCGGCGGCCGCCTCTCCTGTGGCCGATGAACGCAGACCCGCCGCCGCCGCCCTGGGTCTGGATGGTTCCCGGCGCGGCCGGGCTGCTCCGGCTCGGCCCCGGGGTCGCGCCCCCGCCGCTGCTGCTCGCCGCGGCCCAGCCCGCCGCGGCCCCGCTGCTCCCCGGGCTGCCCGGCTGGCCAGCCCCGGGCGAGCCCCTGCTGCCTCTGCTGCCTCTGCCCTCTGCGCCGGACCACGCCGCCGTGCACCACTATCCCCTGCTCCACGGCCAGGTAACGACCCAGCCCGCTCGCTCCGCGGCGCCGCTCCCTCCCGCCCCCGGGCGCGGCCCTCCCGGGCAGGGCGCTGTGGCCCCGGCTCGCGCTCCTCCTCCCAGGGGTCTTCGCCTCCCCGACCCTCGGGACGCAGCCTGGCAGCCAGGCATGGCCACAAAGTTCCAGCTCGACGTCCCGTTCTGCCTCGGGGCAGTTTCCCTTCTTTCTCCCGGGTCTCTGGGCGGAGCGGTTTAGACCCACACCCCAGGCCAGAGTCAGTCCGGCCACAAGTTTCGCCCGGGCCCGGGTCGCTGTCCAGCGCGCGGTGCTGAAAGCCGCCGCCGGAGCCCAGCGAGGCAGCCAGCGCCGGGGCTGAAGCCGTCTCGAAGTTGGTACTTTTACAGTCTCTGCCAGACTTGAAAGGCAGGCTGAGGATCAATAGCTGATTCTGATTCTGGTCTGGTTCCCCCTTTCACATAGACCAGGGCAGCGCTGGAGAGAATTGGGACCAGGGGAAGCCAGCAGGGGAAGCCGGCTCGGGTGCCACGAGCCCAGGGTGGTTTCCCCACCTGCCCTAGGCCGAGTCCACAGATTCGCTAATGCCATATTTCACTTCTGGAGAGTTGGGCGTTTAAAGCTTGGAATCAAAAAGAAAAAGTGACTGTGCCTTTGATTAATGGTACAACAGACCAAAGCGGGCAGGTTTTGGCAAGGTCCGTTGTTTGCCATCTAACTATGCAGACGCATTTAAATCAGGGAATAACATGTGTTTTATTCCAAAATCGACCTCATTAGCATATTCAAATGAGAGTTACCTTAGAATGCACCTTCTAATTAATTTGTCTTCAATAGTATCTTGTGAGCTTTCCTAAAAGCTGTGGTTAAACTCCTCCTAAATGGTCTTTAATGCTAACTGACACATCACATATGTGGTACTGGGTATGTATTTGATGTGTGATGCGGTTCATGCTGGGTTTTATTGGATAAATGCTGGTAGCTTTTGCCATATTTCGGAGGGTTGTTGTATCCTAATATCACCACTAGAGGTACATAATGTCAAGGAACTACAGTTTTTCCATATAGAAAACTGCATTTTTTTCCTTTTATAAATTTAAAAAGAAAAATCCAGAAAAACTTAAGTGTTTGTCTTTTAAATATTTTGTGCTATCCATATTCTGTCAAATAACAGTATTTGGAATGACAGGGATATATTCAAATATCAGGAAAATTAAAATGCATTATGATTTTACAACAATAGATATTGAACCATTCCCCATCATTGAGCAGTGGATCTCTCTGAATCCCCTGAGGAGGACTCCACTAGTTTGCTCAGGGAGACAGTCTCCTCTCCTGTCTGCTCTGTCAGTGTTTGCTGTTTTGTTCTGTGCACTGTGTTCTTCAGTTATATGATGCTTACATTTTCTTTGCTGTAGGACCTATTTTTATTGACAAATCTTGGGAAACTTTGAATCTTAACTCCTTAGCTATTTTCATTTTGAAAATATTTGCTAAGTGTTTTATAAATGGTAGATATAATTAACATGACATGCACCGAGAGGAATGTCATAACATAGCTCTGTGCTTGCTTCTGAGACTAATTCAGGGACCCCAGTGGAACAGCCAGCAGCTCTGCCTTTCCCTGTGACTCTTCCCTATCTCAGGGCGGGCCCGTTTCTTACTGTGTCCCCCTGTTTTCCTACTTAGAAGTTCCCTTTCAGTATTGAAGAGTGCAATGTTGGCAATGCCCTGTGATGCTTCAGATATGAAAACTTGTATACATTTCTATTTGATTTGTAAACATCTACAATTTTTCTAGGCTGAGGAAAGAGGGGATTTTTCTTATACTCACATTATGTACATTTGAAAATTTCTTTTTTAAAGCAATTATTCTAACAACTTTTGGTACAAGTAGAGTTGGCCAGTGTGGGCTAATGAGTGGTCCCTTGTCTTTTGCTGTTTTTACAGTGGCTGATCAGTGGCCATTCTCCACCGACGGGACTGTCCCCCTCTTCCACGGTGGAGTTGGTGCCCATTTTCCCACACATCTGCCCTTCTGCTCTGCCACCTCGTGTTGGGAGAAGTTGGATAGATAAAAGAATGCCTAACTGTAAGGTAAAAATGCAAGGGGTCTGCCTGGTCAGGTGGGCTTTTAGTTGCTGAGTTGTTGCGTGTTGGTGTAGCAAAGGAAACACCTTGTATTTTCTAATTGCAATGATGGACCACGGAGGAATAGAGAGAAATCATTTCAGAATTAGATTGACCTGTTCAAAAAACATCAGTGCAGGGGGGATGGGTATTTTACTGTAGCTTGAAGTACTTGGATTCCACACCAAAAATGTAAGATGTTTTAATTGTCTGAATAACGATTTTAAAAATCTAATTTAAAAATTTTTTTCATTTTTAAAATCTATAAACATTGAATGAAATCTAGCATTAGGCATTATATGATGCAAGTTTAAATCGTAAGAGGGAGTTTTTCTTGTTATTACAGCTTTAAGTTTTCATCTTTCTGATGGCTTGTTTTAGCTTTCACATTCAAATTCACCCAGTATGTTTTGCTGACCTGAATACTGACAAAGTGATGCATTGACTTGTTCTACACCACCAATTAGTAATCTCATTGGGGTGATTTTTCCACCTGCAAACTAGCTGCTGGGTTGAATGGACCAGGTCAGCATGCAAGGACTAGCCCAGGACACTTCAGGCATCCGAGTCCTGCCCTTTAATTTTTAGAATGGTGATTTATAGAGTGTCCAATCAGAACGCCCAGTACTGACCAACATGAGACAACATGAATGTGTGGCCCTTCTCACATGCCTCGTGCTCAGTGTTCTGTTTGCATTATTTCTGGGCAGATTTTTGTGAATAACTCCTTTGCTCTGGACTCCACGTGGATACACCCTGGGGACTCAGGACTGCTCCACCTGCTCGAGAAGCCTCCTGTGCTGGATCAAGTGGCTCTGACTCTGTCCAGGCCCATTGCTGCCTCCAGGCCTCGTCCTGCTGTGGTGCTAGGGCCTCAGCCAATGCCAGGTCAGTGCCCAAATAACAGTGGCAATGCGGTTTCTGTTTGTTTCAGTCATGAGTTGGTATGGAAACTATATTTGTCATTTTAGTGACACATGTCTCTTAGTAAATCCTCTCATACTTCATTCATGGTGTGTGTATGTTTTTAAAAATTGATTGAGTCTTGAAAATGCCAGGAACTTTGATTGGGCAAAGGGAAGGGGAGGGTGTATGGGGGCAGGTAAGATGGTGGGAATAAATAAATAAAATTTAAAAATTGATTGGATCTTGGGGAGCTCACCCAATTTTTTTTTTTTTTAAGAATGTAGAGTTATTTTTAAGATGAAGAGATGATGGAGGGATTTGCACAGAATGGTATTTGTGGTGCTCTGTTTTTAAAATTGGACCATGTTGTCTGTTGAGAGCTCTTAATAGGGTCACTAATCGATCATCCCACGCATTGGAAAGTGTTGTCTTCTGGGCTGAGGGTGTGCACGGGTGCTTGCTGTCTGAGGGCTCGGGCGTGTTCTCTGTAAGTTTTGCCTTCACATTGGGGTGATGGGGGTGATAGGCTATAAATGCCCTGTTGGGAAGATGAATTTTGTTCTATCTTTGGAGTCTAGTGACCTGAAAGAACATTTGTCCTGAAACAGGCTCCATGAAACAATCCCTGGATGAAGGATTGTATAATAAACCCGTATCATAACAGGAGAATAAAATCATCTTATGAATTTTTAAATTGATTTTTAAAATCACCTTAACATATGATCATATTATAAAAGCAAATGCTGCCAATGCCAGAATTGCCTTGCAGCCCCTTCCATTGTGGAATATTTTATGACTTCAGAATTACATTATCTTCCTGTAATTTCCTACCTACCAAGCTTATCTCAATATGTGTCTCTGAAATTTAGTAATAAGGAGATGTTCCTGTGGATAATGCAGTGCTGGTGTGGGAGATATATTTATTTTCTGCTCTGTTTGCCTACAAATTCATTCCAATTTGCGATGAATCTTGTTTAGCAGTGAGTCAGGAAGAACAATGCAACTCTGAGCTTCTCGCAGGACTTGAGGATTCCTGGCTGAACCTTGCCTTGCTCCTTGTGATTGAGCTTTGCTGATTAATCAAAGCCTGACTGAGCATCAAACACTTTGGAGCCCTTTACACTAAGATGATCGTGTTTCCTGTTTAATTTGATGGAGATGAAGAATGACTCAATGGCATGTGTGATACGAGGGTGTGTTGACTGTCAATCACTTTTCTAGCATATGAAGAATAATATTTTAATTTCCTAATGCATTGGCAAGAACTGTCACCAAAACAACCAGCCAGCTTAGTTTAAAAAATGGAGCAGGTAAGATGAGTTCCCTGCTCCATCCTGAGTGGACTTCTGCACCGGTACCCATCACTGAAGGTCACATAGATGCTTTCCCATGTGCTTGCCCCTCTCCCCAGGGACTGAGTCTGTGAATGTGCTGGCCATCCATCTGGTAGGAGCAGCCTATGGTAGCTTCCCACTGATTTTCTGTCGTGTGGACTTTGATGCTTACTATTATGTAGCAAATATGTAATACTTGATTCAAATAGTATTCATTAATTTTACATTTTAATTAATCTACTTTAAGGAATACAAAATATTTCTTACTACTGGGTGCAGTGGTGCACCCCTATAATCCCAGCAGCTTCAGAGACTGAGGCAGGAGGATCCAGAGTTCAAAGCCAGCCTCAGTAAAAGCCAGGCGTTAAGCAACTCAGTGAGACCCTGTCTCTGAATCAAATACAAAATAGGGCTGGCGTCTATCTCCATGGTCGAGTGGTTGAGTGGTCGAGTTCAATCCCTGATACCCCCCAAGATATTGCTTACAAACACGATCTGTATTGGAATAACCTCGCATACCAACCTCATTCACCATTTCTCAAACCCACGCTTTCCCCTGCTCCGGTTTCTTGCTCTGCTTTAGACTTACGAGCAACAACTGAACACCACACTTACAGCTCTCCTTACCCTATGGGAAGGAATGCACCTGTCCAAAGCATTTGTTTTGAGTTGAATATTTCAGAATTCCTTCACAATTTTCATTTTTTGATAAATTTCTGAATTCTTAGAAGTTATTTGCCTTTCAAAAGCATGTGTTAAATGTCCCTTCATCCAAAGGACATTTTTAAGGGGTTGTTTGTGTGCCATTAACTGCTTGACAAAAAGCTTGTATGGGAACCAAATAAAGCTGGAAGGTAGGTTAAACTCTAAGCCAGTTAAAAAATCAAAGTACATCATTCCAATTTTACCATGATAGACATTACACCTCTATTAAAACATTTACATGTAAATTTTCAGACATTTTATCATTAAAATCCTATTGAATTTCTATATCCTATTGTAAATTGATAAATTTCTTTATTTTATAAACAAACTATTTTATAAACAAATTTATAAACAAATTATTATATAACTGTGTAAATTTATAAATATATACATTTAAATGTAAATGCAGTATAAATAAAATATAAATATAAATATATTTAAAATTTTTTTAGTTGTAGTTGGACACAGTACCTTTATTTTTTAAATTTATTTTTACATAGTGCTGAGGCTTGAACCCCGTGCCTTGCATATGCTAGGTGAGTGCTCTACCACTGAGCCACAACCTCAGCCCCAAGATATAAATATATTTTATAATTGATATATTACATTCTTCAATCTTGTTATATACTTTTTTTTTTTGGTACTAGGGATTGAACCTGGGGCACTTAGCCACTGAGCCACATCCCCAGCTCTTTTAATTTTTTATTTTGAGACAGGGTCTTGCTAGGTTGCTTAGGGCCTCCTTAAGTCGCTGAGGCTGGTTGGACTTGCGATCCTCCTTCCTCGGCTGCCTGAGCCACCTGGATGATAGGTGTGGGCCACTGTGCCTGGCTTTGTTATACATTTTTATGTTCAGAAATAAGGGGCTGTAGAATCAGATGTATTTTATCGATCCCCTTTAAATTAAGAAGCATATTGAAAATTCCCAAGAACTGGGGAAGTGAGTCAAGAGCCTTCATCTTAAACAGGCCTCGTGGGTAAGATCTTTTCTCGGTCGACAGTAGTTTCTGTGTAATGGTTGTTTTGTAAGCGCTTTAACACAATTTCAGGGATTGAGGCAGTTTAGACCACAGACTCAGCAGTGTACCCCTGGCCACTTGTGTCTGAGTAGGCACGCGTGACTGGAGTTGGAGGTGGCCTTGGGCAGACATGTTGAGTGATCTCTGGGGCTCAGATTACCAATGTGCCCCCTGGTGATGTTGAGTAAGGAGTAACTGCCTGACATAGGTGCCAGAGAACGTGTGTGTGGCTTGAATGACCTTGGAGAGCCATCTGAGATTTGATAACTAGTACAGAGGACTTCACTTTGCATGCATACTGGCTCATCCATGATGACAGTGATGATCATCTGCCTTATGCTCAGATCTTGGAGGGCCCACTGACCACTGGGGAGAGCTGAGTAGTGAGTAGCGGTCATTTTCTCTGTGTTCACCCAGCCCACTGTCTTCTGGCATCTTCTTAGTGGTCATGGTGTGGGCAGCTGGACTGTCAAGGCTCCTCCCCTGCTCAGCTCGTGCTGCCGTGATGTGGAGGACAGAGTAGCCTGGGTTGCTTAGATGACAGTTACTTCTCACGGTTCTGGAGTCTGGATGTCCTGATGGGGCTCCATGTGGCTGAGGCAGGAGGGTTGTCTTGCCTGGCCTACAGTGGCTGCCTTCTCTGTGTCCTGGTTTGGCAGAGGGGACAAGGGGCTCTCTGGGGCTCCTTGTATAAAGACATGAGTCCCATCATGGACCATGCTCCTAGACCTCCAGTCCTGAGGCCCTCTTCCTGGTGCCGTCACCGGGGGTTGGATCTGGGGGTCACCTTCAGGTCGATCCCTGCTCTGCTGAAGAGCTCAGCAGTAGGTAGCAGACCTTGGTGCCAGCCCATCCCTGCAGGTGTTTGGAGGAGGGCGTTCTCAGAGAAGCGCTCCTGGGCTAAGGCCCCTGAGGAGGAAGGGTCGGTGGAATGCCAAGCCAAGGGAGTGCAATGTTCAGTCACAAAGATGTGAGAGAGGAGCCACCAGGTGGACCCCGCAGCCGGGGTGGTACAGGGCGGAGAGGTGGAGCCAGGGCAGCTGAGCCTGGGTCTCTTCAGGGAGACGCTCTCCAGCTCCTCTGGGGCTGTCAAGGGATTCTCCTGTCACCTTCCTGCTGAGGACCCACAGCCCTCCCAGGAAGTATGGAGAAGAGGGAGCCTTGTCACTGACAAGTGAATCCAAAGATGCAAAAATACACAGTCTCAGCTACGTTAGGAACAAAGGTCTGCAATGACAATTTAGTGGCTTTTAAGAAATCGCCTGTATTATGGCTGCCTCAGACACAGCCAGGCGGGAGGGAGGCAGCCTCTCAGGGCAGTGCCTCCTCCTGGAGAGCTTCACTTGCCACCGGCTTCTGTCCCTCCTGCTCCCTGAGCACATGTGGACACAGGGTGACTCACAGGCGCAGCAGAGCCCAGGGTGGCAGCGGCGCTCCCAGGGGCTCTGTAGTCCACTCCCAGAAACGAGAACTTCAGAGCCCTGAGTTCTTCAGAAATAGAGCTACTTAGGCGGAGAGTGTGGGGCGGGGAGGACACCCCCCCTCCACTTTGTCCAGTGAGATGTCAGAGCCAGAGTCCCGCTGGAAACCGGGGACTCCTGGGAAAGTTGCCTGGGGGACACTGTGCATCAGCTGAAGACCCAAGGGCTCACTTGGTTCAAAGATGAGTCAAGAGAGGCAGGGAGAAGGTGGCAGCCGAGGACGGCGACTGAGAGGGCTCAGCCAGGCACAGGGCATGCACTCCACGAGGAGAGGAAGGCAGGTTTGAACAGGACCGAGGAAAGTTAGTATAAATCTACTTTTATTTGCCTTAACAGGCAAAAGGAAATGAACAAATAAAAGACCATAGAAAAGCAGTAAAAGATGACTGATCAGTAAAAATCAGTAATTAAGTGGGAGCTGCCCATCTGAAAAGATGATTTGA